TTTTTTGTATTTGTATATCATGATTTTTATCTGTATTTTGTGGCATCTATTTTGTTTGTATTATGTTTAAATATATAATAAAAAAAATAAAAAAATTAAAAATAAAAAAAAGCTACGAAACTGCTTCGGAAGTTGTAAGCCATAGAGGTGACACATGCACAATCTATCCGGTGGGTGGCGGTAATGCGCTGCACTAGTTCGCAACCGCCGTTAAGCAATCAAAGAAGAAGAAGAAAAAGAAAAAGAAAAAGAAGAAGAAGACTATGGCCCCGTCCCAATACTCGCACTTCCACCCTCGCGCCCCTCATTTGCGCGTTCCCGATAAAGGGTGCGAGTGCGTAGGGCAGGCATGTCAAAGTTAAATAAATCAGAGGGCCAAAAAAACAAATTTGCTGCGAGCCGAGGGCCGGACTGGTTCAATGTTTATTAACTCATTGCCTGCCAGCCTATTTCAGAACAGGTATTCCCATATTGCCAGCCGTTTCTGATGATTTTTATAGATTTTTCAGGACCCACAGAATATTGTGTACTATGACTATCTGAAATCCGAAACCAGATTCTGAAAGAATAGACTGTCTACTTTCATCAGCAAAAATAATTTTGTTTCTAGCTTGTAATCCCCAGTTGAGTAGAGGGAAGTTTTACTGAAATCACCAAAAAGCTGAGAAAAAAGAGGCACAACAAGTACATCTAGCTGTTTTCAAACCATTCAGAGAGCGCTGCTGCCACCTGCTGGCTCGATTCAATATGCTCTCAAGCTTATCCCCATACATATTAGATATAATAGACATCTGGGAACATGAAAATAGCGGGAAACGCAATTGACGTAATAGTGCGTCAATGGCAGGCAACGGGCCATGTAAAATTCATTCGTGGGCCGGATTTGGCCCGCGGGCCTTGACTTTGACACATGTGGCGTAGGGTGTCCCAATTCTCCAGGGAGGTCTTTGGCCCCGCCCCCTTTGCGCCCCTGATCCACACTTCGCCGTAGCCTGCGTCTATGCGCACGCGAAGGATATTGCCCATAATTCTTTGCGGTACACACCAAAACATTGGGAAAATCCATTTAAATATACATTTGGAAATATATATGCAGTATGTGTGTAAATAAGTTTTGCTATGTTACTTGGAAAGAAGCATAAACGTCTGATGAAGAATTACGGACATTGTGTTTTAACAATTTAATAACTTTTTAAATCAAGTGTTTATATAACATTCAATTTAAACTTTACACATAGTACAATAATCTTAGAATGTATAAAAACTGACCAGATATCAGTTAGTTACCCACATTTAATTTAAAATTATACAGCTATTTCTAATTAAAAACAACTAATATACATGTATTTTAACGTGTGTGAAGCAATTCATTTTGTTCCCCAAAGGGTCAGACAAAATTACCTTTAATGTTTATAAAGTTTAGGTCTGAAAATGACCATCTCTTTGCGAGTCGATGACGTAACCTGCACTCAGTGTGCACTGTCCCAATTCCGCCTTTTGTGCACGCTTGCAACCTGCGCACTCCAACCCTTGCGTGCACTTCAGACACATGCACACTTCATAGGAGGGCGTAGGGTGCAGTGTGGGTATTGGGACTGGGCCCAAGGCCCCGTTGTTACGACCCAGCTCAGCTAGGGTGAGGGAGGTAACAAATTAAAACCAAGATGTTAAATGGAAAAGCAAGTATTTAATAAAAGGCAAGTAAATGATAAGTAGACACAAATCAAAAGGGCACAATACAGGACATAACAGGGTAACTCAACGCTACCAAAGTAAACCCTACACTAAATCTTTACATTAATACACATAGAACTAAACACTAAACCTACTGTTGTCTCAACTGATGCGAAGTGTCACGAAAACAAAACCTCAAGGTGACAAATAAAAAGAGACAAACCAAAACAAAGCTATACGGACTCGTCTTTAAGTCATTGCCACCACTGTGACAATGACAGACAGCATAAGGACACTTGGCATACCAGCCACACACAGGCTGGCAGCTCCGAACAGGTGTGGAGTGTGGCCTTAAGTGCAGAGTGACTCCAGGTGGGGAAGCTGGATTGGCCAGGTGCACCGCTGCTCCTCCAATCAGCACCTGTGTCACGGACGTCTGGGAGGCGGGAGGGCCAGTGGTTCTCCAATCACAGGCCAGGGATCTTTACACAAGAGGGGTTGCCACACACGCACACACAAAATACAAAAACAGGGAGCAATATGTAGGCTCAGGGCCGTAACACTCTCCCCCTTAAGTTACAAAACATCCCATGTTTTGTATTCACCAAGTCTACAGTACTCACATGATGAAAGTAGTGAGGTGGGATTACGAACCCTGGTGGGTTGGGCAGGGCCCAGAACACAAGCCACCACGTTAGCTGCTCCAGCCCCTTGGAGTGAGCCAGGCATCCTAGGAGCCGGGCTCCACCCCAGTGTAAATGGAGGAGAAGACATGAACAGGGCATGAAATGGGCACAGTTGATCAGGCCGGACATAAATCACCCCTGAAACACGCCCTAAACGCAGGTTGCGAATGTCTGGACCGCCACAACAGCAGCCACCATCCTACCACCCAATCTACAAAACATCACTAAATTTCAAAAGCCAATTAAAGTACCGAATATCAATTTGGGCCAAATCACTTACCAAATACATACCAATTACTTTCACCGCTTTTAAGGGATAGGGTGTTTCGATCCCGGACGAGCCCCCACTTTTGTTACGACCCAGCTCAGCTAGGGTGAGGGAGGTAACAAATTAAAACCAAGATGTTAAATGGAAAAGCAAGTATTTAATAAAAGGCAAGTAAATGATAAGTAGACACAAATCAAAAGGGCACAATACAGGACATAACAGGGTAACTCAACGCTACCAAAGTAAACCCTACACTAAATCTTTACATTAATACACATAGAACTAAACACTAAACCTACTGTTGTCTCAACTGATGCGAAGTGTCACGAAAACAAAACCTCAAGGTGACAAATAAAAAGAGACAAACCAAAACAAAGCTATACGGACTCGTCTTTAAGTCATTGCCACCACTGTGACAATGACAGACAGCATAAGGACACTTGGCATACCAGCCACACACAGGCTGGCAGCTCCGAACAGGTGTGGAGTGTGGCCTTAAGTGCAGAGTGACTCCAGGTGGGGAAGCTGGATTGGCCAGGTGCACCGCTGCTCCTCCAATCAGCACCTGTGTCACGGACGTCTGGGAGGCGGGAGGGCCAGTGGTTCTCCAATCACAGGCCAGGGATCTTTACACAAGAGGGGTTGCCACACACGCACACACAAAATACAAAAACAGGGAGCAATATGTAGGCTCAGGGCCGTAACACCGTCCCAACACTCGCACTTCCACCCTCGCGCCCCTCATTTGCGCGTTCCCGATAAAGGGTGCGAGTGCGTAGGGTGTCCCAATAGACCCTTTAATTGTTTGTAAACATTGTGACGTATTTTGGTGGGCGGGGCTTAGCCTGGAGGCAAAAAGCTAGAGCGAGTGCTATGATGACAAGCGGGAGTTAACAAGTTTGGTGTGATATTTTTCATAATGGAGGATTTCGAACAGAGTGGTTCGGTCTCGGATCAGTCGGACTATGTACAGACACTTTCTCTGCAGGACCGGGACAACTATTTTACTAAATTAACGCTAGCGGATGGTAGCAGGCTGGCTGACCCATACACCTTGCGGGAGTGGCATGAAGACTTGACGGGTCTGCCGAGGAGTTCGGTAAAGTCAGCTTGATATTCACAGATTCGGACTTCTGCCATGAATATCTCACGAAAGCAACGTTGTTAAACGAAAGTAATGGTGCCAAAATGATCACCTCTACTTAGGCTAACTACTAAAACATCGATTTTTCAAATCCAACCGCGGAAGTCCGAATCTGTGAATATCAAGCTAACTTTACCGAACTAGCCAACGCCAAGGCAAGAAGAGTGCTATGTACGACGCCTGGGCTATCGTAAATCGGGAAAACAATACAGTTTTGACAGCAAACTGCACTTGCATGGCTGGGTAAGTTTAAGCTAACAAATACTTGTTTTAGGTTAGTTGTATTGTAGTAACACTAGCTGTAACGAATGTGGCAACACTAGCTCAGCTGTAACGTCTGGACCATTAGGCTATGCGTTGATATGACATTCCGTTGTTTTTAGGGAAAGAGAAACATATTTGACATTTTCAATGATAAATTGCAGGTTAGGGTCTTGTTGCAGTCATGCAGCAGCAGTACTGCTTAAAGTAGAGCTGTATGTTAGGATGGGACGAACGGAGGAGCCAGCATGCACGTCAGGAGAATGCCTCTGGAAAAAAACAAAACGTGAGGTCAAACCAGCAAGAGTTAAGGAGATCAGTTTCCAGAGGCCCAGAAGCAAGTTACAAGGAGTACCACAGAAAGTCAGAAAGTTGAATTGCAGCGCCAAAGGCATGTACCACACTATAAAGAAATGAAATCGGCAAATGTATATTCAGTTACTCATGTACAGTACATGTTGCTTACTCACCTATTTAAATTGTAATTGGGAAATGTGTTTGAACAGTCAAAATATATGCACATCACCAGGTGCATGACTACTACAGTGAACTGTGAATGATGAAAAAGCCTGCACACTTACTCCAAAAAGACTATTTATTGTGATAACGTTTCGATCCAAGTGGATCTTCCTCAGGTCAAGAGGAAGACCTGAGGAAGATCCACTTGGATCGAAACGTTATCACAATAAATACAGTCTTTTTGGAGTAAGTGTGCAGGCCTTTTCATCATTCCACTGGAAAATTTGTGAAACCAAATAAGAAATTTCACATCTAGTTTATGTACTACAGGTTTTGAGTTATAAATTAGTGTGAATAATTAATACAAATGATTGTTTGCCTAATTTTTGTTGTCTTGTTTGTAGAACTTACAGATGCAGACATCCTGGAGCTCAAGCTGATTGCCCCAGAAGCTGCTGTCCTGACCAGTTTTGAAAATAGTGACACAGACACAGCATCTGAGTGTGAGCTAGAGGAGCATCGCCCTGAGCTGCCAGAACCACTGACCGCCTTGTATGACTCCTCCCTTGGGCAGCAGGTGCCACAGGACATCACAGAACGATGTGAGGAAGCCTTTCACAACATAAAAAGAAGCATCCACCCTGAGCAGTGTGAGAGACTTTCAGCCATTACAACACAACAAGCGGAATCACAATCCTGGCATTTACACAGAGCAGGCAGAATCACAAGCACAACATTTTACAGTGCATCAAAAGGTGATCATGTGGACAGAACAACCTTAATTAAAATCATGCACTATAATGAACGCAACATCCAAGTTCCTGCTGTTATATGGGGAAGAGAGAAAGAGAAAATTGCTCGTCAGTTTTACACGGACGAGCTCTGTAAAACTCATACAAATGTCAAAGTTAGTTTGAGCGGTTTTGTAATACGGCCTGATGAACCACACCTTGGCTCATCCCCAGATGGGAAAGTCTCATGTTTATGTTGTGGGGATAGGGTTTTGGAAATCAAGTGCCCATATCGGTACCGGGAAGGCCTTCTGAATGCCCCTCTAAAAGAAGATTTCTGTCTTGACCAAAGATTCCAGCTAAAGAAGTCACACCAGTACTATCACCAGGTTCAACTCCACATGTTTGTTTGTAATGTCGATTTTTGTGATTTTGTGGTTTGGACACCTAAGGAACTGATAATAAATAGGATCGCAAAAGATGAACAGCTCTTACAACAGGCTTTGCCTGTGGCAAAACAATATTTCTTATCTAATGTTTTACCAGAACTATTAACCCGCAGCCAAGATCCTACACTTCAACCATCAAGATTTTGTAGCACCTGTAAAAAGCCAGAGTTTGGGAAAATGATTGACTGTATGGTGTGTAAAGACGTCTTTCATTATAGTTGTGTGAAAATTAAAAGAAAATCAAAGAACTGGTATTGCGCTCAGTGTAGATGAATTAACTCGCATTGGTCAGTCACATTAGGACAGAGTTAAACATGTTTTGTGATGTTCTTTTTTTATAAACATGCAGTTCAACATTCACATTTTAATGTAATCTTAAATATTGTCCACAATGAATGTGAGAAATGACATTTGGTCTGAAGTTTTCAGATAATGAACATGTGGTTATAAATACAAAGACATGTAAATATAAATGAAAATATGTACATACGAAAATGTCACGTAAAATGTTTCGATGTCACAATAAAACTCATTTGCCTTTGACAAATATTTTGCAGAAATAAAAATGTCAGAAACCATTAAACTAGTTATCTCTTTACGCACGCGCTCCAACGCGCGGTCCGAGAATTCTTTCCCTGAAGAAGTCCGCTAGGTTGAGGACGAAACGTCGGGAAAACTTGCTAAGAAGTACAGATGATGGGTGAGAAACCTTCCTTTGCTTTGACTAATCCCTGTACGACTGAGAGCTTACACAAACTCTTTACGCACTGTTCAATTAAGAAAACATTCAAACAATTTATAAAAACCTAAGGATTTGAAATTGATTTCAAATTGATATTCACAATGTTTGTGCAAGCTCGCTCAAACTACAGGATACAGATGACTGCTTTTTAATCTTTAGTGGAGTAATCAGGTTGAACCCAATTTAGTTGTACAATTGTATAATCACAAAGCTTTTAGTAAATGTAGGAGGGCTTTTTTAACTTAAACCATTACACAATCTTTCATAGATGACACACTTTCTCTCTTAGGCACAACAGATTTACAAAGATTAGTTAGAGCCCCACACACAGTTACCATGTCATCTAGCAGGTCAACTTGGGAGATTGGAATCACAGAATGTAAAACTTTGAAGCTCTTCCATTTACTAATGACTCTTTCCACGTGAATGCGGGCATGAGAAAGTTTTCTTGAACTATACCTCCCTAGCAGGAAGCTGGCTCTTTCCTTTAGTAAAACTTGGAATACGCAAAGTGGCACCATATGCAGCAAGCTCATCCCTTATTAAAAATCCTCGGTCAGCTAAAATGTCATCTCCTGGTTCCAAATGACTTAAAAACCCTGATTCAAGTGTTATTTGTTTGTCTGACACTCTGCCCCCCCAGCCAGTGGACAGAAAGGAAACTGCACCTGCAGGTGTTATTCCTACCAGGTACTTAATGGTGTTATTATGCTTATAATTTGACCATGTTTGCGCACGGGCTGTCAAATCAGAAGGTCTTTCAATAAATATTTCAGTACAGTCTATGATGCATCTACATCTTCTGAAATTCCGCCTGAAAGCTTTTGGCATGCTTTTGAGCGCAGCACCCTTACTTGGCCATTTAATAAGAGGTTTTAGCACAGATGACATTACAGGAAACCAGAACCTTACAATTTTGGACACTTGGCTTTCAAAAATATTGAACCTGTAGGCGAGATCTCTGTTACTAAGGCCAAGTCTGAGTTTCATGAGCACCAATAGTAAATGATCCTCCAGCTCGAGACCGGGAACTTGTTGTAACACCATCCATCCATCCATTTTCTTCCCCTTAATCCATTTCTGGGTCGGGGGGGTGGCCAGAGATGCCACCCAGTACACAGAGCACCAGCCCCTCACTGATCCTCCTGCAGGTGGTGAGTCCACAGGAGCTGAGATCTTTCAGTGGGAGCTTCAGGCAAAGTGGGGTTAAGTGTCTTGCCCAAGGACACAACGACAGCAGTCATCAGTGGGAGTCGTGAAGTAGGTCTTACGGTGGGCTCGAACCCACGACCTTCAGGCTCAAAGGCCAATGCTCTACCAACTGAGCTACTGTCGCCCAGTAGTAACACACTAGGTTTTAATTTGGTCATTATCCAACTAAAGATTGTCCAGGTGAGCCCAGTCAGAAAGAGCAGATATGCAGCATTACTTTTAACTGTGGCGAATGTGAAGTGTGATTGGTGGAGTTCTTCTTTCAGTTTTTGGTTTTCTTCTTTGAGTGTATAAAACTCTGTTCTTAACTTAAAATAGTCATTGTTCAGTTGTTCATATTTCTGACTCAGAGCATTGTATGTCTTCTGTGTGACCATTGGCTCGGGCTCAGTCTCTGCCTCTTCTTCCTCACGGTCATGTAGTAGTGGCACATGGTCCATGTCAGCAGACTCCTCATTTGCTTGAAAAACACACGATGGGTGTCATTTGAAAGTACAACATGCATAAAACATTCTGTAAATAAATGGTTGCATGCTACTCACTGTAGCTATGGCCATTATGTTCCATTTTCAGGGCTTCTCTTCTTCTTTTTCTTGCAAGCCTAAGAGAAGAAAGCGATGATTACAGAGACTACAAAGACACAAAAAACAGAATTTATATATATATTTTTAAACTTACCTCTCGATTTTTTGCCCTGGCACGCTAGCCTGCTGTTTATATGTAAAAACAGATGGGACGAAGTCTGGGCTTTCAGCATCCATAGATGCCTCTCCTAAAAAGATTTAAATAAAAAAGACACTATAATAAAAGTCGTGATTTGTGTCCAAAGTAGTATTTTAGGATCTCTGGTATTGCTGGTTTGGTCCTAGCACCGACATTTAATTTGGTTGTTTTTTGTTTTTCGATCTAGTGTAGACTGGGAATAAATCGGCATTTTATGGCTCAATTAAATACTTTTAAAAGCTTGAGATATCATGTAACATAAGTAAATTAAGTGGCCAATGTGGGTTATTTTTTACGATCACAAAGAAACCGCGACAGATTCTCCATCACCAATGTTTTGTTTTGTTTACCCGGTTAGCATATTCACGCTAGCTAATGCGTTGATAAAGACAAGACATTTCCCCATGGATGTATGCATTTCCCCGACATCTTCCTTCGTAGTTTTGAGCCAGCTGTGTCCGAGTTGGGTCAGTTACAATTTAGTTAATTTGGACCAACGTGTTATTGTTTATCTCTTACCTGTTATGAAGTGTGCGCTGCAAACGCGAGCATTTCTGATGATCTGAGAGACTGGTCTCTGTCCAGTCTTTTCTTCTTACTGCATTCAACCACAAATGTCTTCGTTTTTTCTGAAAACGAGTGTCCGCTGGAATCCTATAAAACTTTAGTTTACTTACACTAACGCTATTCTTCCTATTCTGGCACCCAAACACACAACAAGACGACATTTTACAGCTGTAACGTTTCACCGGTTTCACTAGCTTCCACTGTCTTTAGCCAGCGGCTTTTCCTGTTTTTGCCTCCAGCTGGAGTTGTGACGTCACTCGTGACGTAGGCCATTAAGGGGAACTTAATAGGCGAACTATCTGAATGACGTCACTAAGACACGCCCCCGCCGCCTGTCAACTCCCGCCCACATGTTTCGGACAAACACTGCCAAAATGAATCAAATACCTCTTGTCACTTTAGACGAAAATGATAAACCAGGGGCAAAATTCCACCATCAAACCATCAGGGATCATAGTGTAGACCAATTAAAACGTTGGCTTGAATGTCGTGGTCTTCCAGTAACTGGTAGAAAGTTTGATTTGATAAAAAGGTAATGGTGAGGATTATGCTAACATTATCTTGTCATTTAAATTGCAATGTTAGCGCCTTCTTTGTTTATTTTGCTCTGATTAACTTCCATTTATCAAGTTGTTTTTTGTACTGTCCATTTCGTAATTAGTTTGATCATTTAGTTAACTACAGTCAGCCGATATTATAATAGATCCATGGGGTCACAACGGGCTACACCACTACTGTCTCTGAGAGAGAAACTATCGGAGCTAGCCACACTCAGTAAACGCAAACGACAATCAATCAACATATTTAAATGTTAATGCTAGAATATAATATTCATACAACACACGTGCACAGAGGTTTTCAGAATTATCTGTTAAGGTTTTCATGACAAAAATACTTTTTTAATGCGACTAAAGCGATCGCTTTTTTAAAGTAGGTGAACTAAAACCTTTGGGAACTATTTTCTTTGCACTCATTAAATAAACCTTTTGGCATGAATAGTGACAGAAGTTTATTTTGTGTGTTCAGTTGGTACAAAGCCGTATAATAAGCGGACCCCAACGCGCTTCGTCTGTGCTTATTTTCCGATAGTCACGAAGTTGAAAAAATCCCTCTCATCTTTCTTCAGGTGTGAGAATTGTATACATTCTGGATTAGGACAAACAATACTAATATGGATTGATGGGGCTAACTACATTCAGAAGAGCTCAGACGGACCAGATACAGCGGTCCAGGTCCAGTCCCAGCTAAACGTAGCTAGGACTGGATCTGGAGGCTCCACAGTTGGTCCAGCGAAGTGTTTTGAAAAAACATGTCCTTTTTAACATTTTCATGAGAGAAATTCTGCTGACCACAAGCACCCACCTCTTGCAAGTTCGGTAAAGTTAGCTTGATATTCACAGATTCGGACTTCCGCGGTGAATATCTTACGAAAGCTACGTTGTTAAACGAAAGTAATTGTGCCAAAATGATCACCTCTACATGGGCTAACTACTACAACATCGATTTTTCTAATCCAATGCGCTGTTTTAATGCAGAGAAATCCATTGAATCCAATGCGCCGCAAGTGCCGAGAAAAGCACTTAGGGAGCGTCAACAAATGCCAATACCAGCTGTGTAAACGAACAATAGTTTTTATTTTAAGCCAAGTACACGCACTAAACTCTCAAATACTATAAATAGCTACCATATCTAACTACTACAACCTTTGTTTTCAGCATTTGTTTCTTTTTTGTATTTTTTATGAATAAATAGGAATTTAATATGAATATGAATTTTGAATAACTTTTTTTCAAAGAGGGGCGTGGTCACCAAATTCTCAGGTATGATCAATAACTGCCATATCTAACTACTACAACTTTTGTTTTCAGCAGAAATATCTTTTTTATATTTTTTATGATAAAATATGAATATGAATTTTGAATAACTTTTTTTCAAAGAGGGGCGTGGTCACCAAATTCTCAGGTATCATCAATAACTGCCATATCTAACTACTACAACTTTTGTTTTCAGAAGAAATATCTTTTTTATATTTTTTATGATTAATATGAATATGATTTTTGAATAACTTTTTTTCAAAAAGGGGCGTGGTCACCAAATTCTCAGGTATCATCAATAACTGCCATATCTAACTACTACAACTTTTGTTTTTCAGAAGAAATATCTTTTTTATATTTTTATGATTAAATATGATGAAATATGACTACAAATCTTGAATAACTTTTTTTCAAAAAGGGGCGTGGTCACCAAATTCTCAGGTATCATCAATAACTGCCATATCTAACTACTACAACTTTTGTTTTCAGCAGAAATATCTTTTTTATATTTTTATGATTAAATATGATGAAATATGACTACAAATCTTGAATAACTTTTTTTCAAAAAGGGGCGTGGTCACCAAATTCTCAGGTATGATCAATAACTGCCATATCTAACTACTACAACTTTTGTTTTCAGAAGAAATATCTTTTTTATATTTTTTATGATTAAATATGAATATGATTTTTGAATAACTTTTTTTCAAAAAGGGGCGTGGTCACCAAATTCTCAGGTATCATCAATAACTGCCATATCTAACTACTACAACTTTTGTTTTCAGAAGAAATATCTTTTTTATATTTTTTATGATTAAATATGAATATGAATTTTGAATAACTTTTTTTCAAAAAGGGGCGTGGTCACCAAATTCTCAAATATAATCAATAACTACCATATCTAACTACTACAACCTTTGTTTTTTGTATTTTTCTCTTTATATTTTTTGTGATGAAATATGACTACAAATCTTGAATAACTTTTTTTCTAAAAGGGGCGTGGTCACCAAATTCTCAGGTATGATCAATAACTACAATATCTAACTACTACAACCTTTGTTTTTAGCAGAAATACCTTTTTTCATATTTTTTATGATTGAATCTTCAATGGCTTTTTATAAATGGAGAAGAGTCCTTTACGAGGGTTAACAGGAGTATGAATTAGACAGACTCTAATGTTTTAAAACATTTATTAAAGATTGATTTGTATGTGAAGGTGCGGACCTGTAAAGGAAAAGAGTGTGAGTTAAGGAAAATGAATAAATGTACAACATTTAAATATACTTATCTTTTACTCCCTTGTCTGCCCTCTTTAGGCGTTCCGGCCAAATAAGTCCTGAGGAGCCGGAGCACCTAAAGAGGATTCCGGGTTCATCCACTCTGCAGAGAGGGTGGAGGGGTTTCCTGGGTTTTATCTTTCCAGTTTAGTATAGTTTTAGAATAAATAAATCATTTGTAAATTTAAATAATAATAATAAAAAGAGTGTAAAAGCACTACTTTAATTATTGCTGTAGGGCTGCAGTTAGTATTGCTTAATTACTGTCATATGCTATAAAAGCAGGCCACCAACTCTGAACAGAGAGAGTGTTGCATGACATGCTGTCCAATGTAAATAAACCTGCACCCTGGGTGTGCACTTTGTTCCTCCAACATCTTCATAAGTGCCATCCTGACATGACAAGTGTCACAATCTTCAATAAATTTTGTTCTAAAAGGGGCGTGGTCACCAAAATCTCAGTTATAATCAATAATTAACATATCTAAGTACTGCAACCTTTGTTTGCAGCATTTATCTCTTTGTTACATTTTTATGATTAATTATCAATCTTCAATAGCTTTTGTTCTAAAAAGGGGGCGTGGTCACCAAATTCTTCAGAATGTGATAAGAGAGCAGTGTTGTGTCCATTGCACAATGGTATGTGATATTTGATAATTGTATATACTATGTGTATTTGCATATTACTCATAAAATAATGAAATGTAATTCCTGTTACAATAGAACATTATTTTATCTCCGTAGCAGTGGAACTGGACCACATCCAGCTTTGTGGAATCAGCTTCAACACCACTGACAAACCCATGAGATATTTTAATTATTGGTTATACCTGAGAATTTGGTGACCACGCCCCTTTTTGAAAAAAAGTTATTCAAGATTTGTAGTCATATTTAATCATAAAAAATATAAAAAAGATATTTCTTCTGAAAACAAAAGTTGTAGTAGTTAGATATGGCAGTTATTGATGATACCTGAGAATTTGGTGACCACGCCCCTTTTTGAAAAAAAGTTATTCAAAAATCATATTCATATTAATCATAAAAAATATAAAAAAGATATTTCTTCTGAAAACAAAAGTTGTAGTAGTTAGATATGGCAGTTATTGATCATACCTGAGAATTTGGTGACCACGCCCCTTTTTGAAAAAAAGTTATTCAAAAATCATATTCATATTTAATCATAAAAAATATAAAAAAGATATTTCTGCTGAAAACAAAAGTTGTAGTAGTTAGATATGGCAGTTATTGATGATACCTGAGAATTTGGTGACCACGCCCCTTTTTGAAAAAAAGTTATTCAAGATTTGTAGTCATATTTCATCATATTTAATCATAAAAATATAAAAAAGATATTTCTGCTGAAAACAAAAGTTGTAGTAGTTAGATATGGCAGTTATTGATGATACCTGAGAATTTGGTGACCACGCCCCTTTTTGAAAAAAAGTTATTCAAAAATCATATTCATATTAATCATAAAAAATATAAAAAAGATATTTCTTCTGAAAACAAAAGTTGTAGTAGTTAGATATGGCAGTTATTGATGATACCTGAGAATTTGGTGACCACGCCCCTTTTTGAAAAAAAGTTATTCAAAAATCATATTCATATTTAATCATAAAAAATATAAAAAAGATATTTCTTCTGAAAACAAAAGTTGTAGTAGTTAGATATGGCAGTTATTGATGATACCTGAGAATTTGGTGACCACGCCCCTTTTTGAAAAAAAGTTATTCAAGATTTGTAGTCATATTTCATCATAAAAAATATAAAAAAGAGGCAAATGCTGAAAACAAAGGTTGTACAAGTTAGAAGTGTTAGTTATTTATTGTGTCCTAGAGTTCTGTGCGTGTACATGGCTTCAAGTAACAGCTATTGTTCGTTTACAAAGCTGGTATTGATACTTGTTGACGCTCCCTATGCGCTTTTCTCGGCACTTGGATTGAATGGATTTCTCCGCATTAAAACAGCGCATTGGATTTGAAAAATCGATGTTGTAGTAGTTAGCCTAAGTAGAGGTGATCATTTTGGCACCATTACTTTCGTTTAACAACGTTGCTTTCGTGAGATATTCATGGCGGAAGTCCGAATCTGTGAATATCAAGCTGACTTTACCGAACTCCTCTAGCACTTGTCCTGGTCTGGTCCTGGTCTGGTCCTGGTCTGGTTCGATGGTGTGGTTTAACGAACAGGTTGAATGTTACTGCTTTCATATAGTCCTTTTCAGAGTATCTGAAATCGCTCCCACAAGCACCATAACTGCAGTGTTTTGTTGTCACCATGATTCAATGATTTAGCCCAAATAAATACACACGCTTATGTGGAGAACACAGTAGTACTCAACGAAGTCGGACAGAGTTTGTCCGAAACATTCGCGCATGCGCAGTCATTGGAACTATTTTTAGCACATTTCGGAAACCGGACAGTGCCCTATTCTCAAGGGAGGTCTTTGGCCCCGCCCCCTTTGCGCCCCTGATCCACACTTCGCCGTAGTCCGCGCTCTGGCGAAGGATATTGCCCATAATTCTTTGCGGTACAAACCAAAACGTCGGGAAATCGCAAATTTTGAAATATATATGCAGTATGTGTGTAAATAAGTTTTGCTATGTTACTTGGAAAGAAGCAGAAACGTCTGATGAAGAATTACGGACATTGTGTTTTAACAATTTAATACATTTTAATGCAAGCGTTTATATAACATTCAATTTAAACTTTACACTTAGTACAATAATCTTAGAATGTATAAAAACTGACCAGATAACAGTTAGTTACCCACATTTAACTTAAAATTATACAGCAATTCAATTTGTTTCCCAAAGGGTCAGACAAAATGACCTTTAATGATTATAAAGTTTAGGTCTGAAAATGACCATCTCTTGACGAGTCGATGACGTCACCTGCACTCAGTGAGCACTGTCCCAATTCTGCCTTTTTTGCACACTTGTAACCTGCGCACTCCAACCCTGGTGTGCACTTCGAACAAATGCACACTTCGTAGAGGTGTGTAGGGTGCAGTGTGGGTATTGGGACTGGGCCTATAAACAAATGTAACAAACACATCTTACGGACCGTGCAGCAGACATGGCGGCTCGGCTCCAGGCGTCTGAGCTGGACTGCGGAGCGGGGTAACGTTAAAGACCAGAGTCTGTTGTTAGCATTAGCAACATTAGCTGTTGTTAGCATTAGCAACATTAGCTGTTGTTAGCATTAGCAACATTAGTAGTAGTAGTGGTAGTAGTAGTGTGTTTATTTCGAATTACATGCGTAATACAAAACAAAACAAAAAGAAGAAACATATAAACATATATATGCACAATTCGAAAAGGAGTAGGTAGAAGTGAAACTTATGCTTCCTACCCCTTGTTACAAACTTTTCTCTTTACAGGAGTTCAAATGATATACAGGCATATTTCTCTCAGATATACAATTTACACTCGTCTCCATAAATAGTAATTTTAAATGCTGATTTAGCACCAATGATGTTCTTAGGTCTTGTTGTCACTTGTCACTTGTTGCCATTTTTACCCAAAGCTGTTTATTTAATGTTAACATAGTTATGTATGTAGACCCTACATAGTGCAGTGCATTAAAAACAGTGGGTAGAATGAGCCAGTCGAGAGAAGGTAATAGCCCCCACTCAACCCGCCCCACTCCCAACATCCCTGACCAATGGAAATGTAGGAAAATTGGCGTTGTATATGCTTGCTGTGTGGTGCGTTAAAAACATTAGCTCCAGAGCTGCACACACAGCGGCTTCAGACTTACTCACTGCCCGTGTTTCCTCTGACTGTTGGGCTGCTGAGTGTCTTTTTGTTGAACAGAAGAAACAGTTTAGTTTCTGACTTAGCATCTACAGCTGCTAAAGCTAAAGCTAGTTCCTCATGTGCGAAAATGTCGCATTTCTTATTAATAGTGAATAATAATAGACTCTATTAAAAGTTCCTATATTGTTAGAATATACTCTTTCCAGGTAATATATAAGGATCCTCATCAGTCTGAAGCAATGGGCCTCCTCCTGTGGCCCATTATGAATGTGTACATTACATGTGGTGCTTCAATGTTGTTCTAATGTAATGTAGTCACTATCATCACAGTGACAGCGGCCTAGTCATTTTACACGGACTACATTTTATTTCTTAGCTTTATTTTTAACCCACATGAGCCACAGACATAAACAAAGACTGGACAGACTCTTATTAGACACAGTGTAAGTCGGGGTTATCAACTGTGTTCTCAAACCTGCAGTGGTGTGGCTGCAGGTTTTCATCCCAACCAAACAGGAGCAAACAGACTCCACTCATTTCCTCAGGTCTCCAGGTTCAGACTGGGCTCTTGGGGAAATGAATGGTTGGAATGAAAACCTGCAGCCTTTGAGGACAGTTGAAGACCCTGGTGTAGTCGCCACACGTGAGAAATATCACACTGAGCCTTGTACCGGATTTAATCAGATTCATAAAACCAGTTTTTTTTTTTGAGTCTAATGATTCTATTTTTGCTGAAATATGACCAAATGTTCAAAGGGATTTTGCATTATTTTATTGATTTTATAAATTAACTGTTTCTTTTAAATCAATGTCTGATTGATCCACATGATTAGTTAAACATTTGTTTGTAAAAACCATTTCATTATTAGTGTTCTCATCTGTAGCCTGTTTTTACTTGCTCCAGTTGCTGAAGCGTGTGTTAAAAAGGTGATGTCTCATTTACAGAAGCAGAAAACTGTCTGGAAACACAGAGCCACAGTTTTCAGGTGAGTAACATGAAAACTATATTGTTCTGAAGTCATTTCACTTCTCAATCAATCTATCAAATCTATTTGTAGAGCACGTTTAAAACAGCCTAGGCTTACCAAAGTTCTATACAGACAGCAAGAAAATAAAACAAGCAGAAAAGATGCGTCTTAAGCAGGGATTTAAGGTGCTCGAGTGATTGTGCGGTTCTAATGTGCAAAGTTAGAGTTCTCCAACTGTGGCCCTATAACAGAAACAGCTCTGTCTCCTCTGGTCTTCACCTGGTCCTATAACAGAAACAGCTCTGTCTCCTCTGGTCTTCACCTGGTCCTATAACAGAAACAGCTCTGTCTCCTCTGGTCTTCACCTGGTCCTATAACAGAAAAAGCTCTGTTTCCTCTGGTCTTCACCTGGTCCTATAACAGAAAAAGCTCTGTTTCCTCTGGTCTTCACCTGGTCCTATAACAGAAAAAGCTCTGTCTCCTCTGGTCTTCACCTGGTCCTATAACAGAAAAAGCTCTGTCTCCTCTGGTCTTCACCTGGTCCTAGGGACGACAGGAAGCTGCTGATCAGCAGAGCGCAGTGCTCTGGAGGGAAGGTGGGGCTGGAGGAGTTCAGATAAATAAGAAGGTGCCATTCTATTAAAGCTTTAAAGAACGATAATAAGAATTTAAAAATTAATTCTAAAATATACCTGGAGCCAGTGCAGGAGTGAGGTGGTCCCAGGACAGGAGTGAGGTGGTCCCAGAACAGGAGTGAGGTGGTCCCAGGACAGGAGTGAGGTGGTCCCAGGAATAACAATAACTTATGGATACATGGATCTAAAATATTAACTTATGGATCTATAATGATAACATATGGATACATGGATCTTTAATGATAACATATGGATACATGGATCTATAATAATAACATATGGATACATGGATCTATAATAATAACTTATGGATACATGGATCTATAATAATAACTTGTGGATCTATAATAATAACTTATGGATCTATAATAATAACAAATGGGTACATGGATCTATAATTTTAACATATGGATACATGGATCTATAATAATAACATATGGATACATTAATCTATAATAATAACATATGGATACATGGATCTATAATAATAACATATGGATACATTAATCTATAATAATAACATATGGATACATGGATCTATAATAATAACATATGGATCTATAACAATAACTTATGGATACATGGATCTATAAAATAACTTATGGATCTATAACAATAACTTATGGATACATGGATCTATAATAATAACATATGGATACATGGATCTATAATAATAACATATGGATAGAGCAAATAAGAACAAACTGTTGGCACTTTGCTACTTTTTTAAAAATCATAGATAGATACAAATTTTCAATTAATCGTGAGTTAACTATGACATTCATGTGATTAATCGTTTCACAGCACTAATTATAAATTAGGACTCCACATCAAAAGCATGTTTAAGTGATACTGTGCATAAATATTCATTCTGTTCTGTGTTAAGAGGTTGTGATAAATATGTGCTTTTGTACTGAGTGTTATTTTTTCCCTTGAACAAGTTATTGATCAGAGCCATCATTGAACCGCTCTCAAACAGCAACATTCTCAAGGCTAAAGGTTCAGAGCCGATGACAAAAGATCAGCATAATCCTGGCCTGAAGGCAGAAAACCAACGACCTTTTCATTTATGATTACACAATAGAGATAATATAAGTAAGTCCTGAAAATGATTTTTAAAAATGTCTTTCTCATTTTGAGCAGAATTTCTTTATCATCATTACAAGTACTAATTAAGCTTCAATATGCTCTGATCACTGGTTCTGTAAAACTTCCCTTCATGTTGTGTGCCTTTTTTTGTTGTGCCTTTTAAGGTACTTGCTGCCACTTACTTCCTCGTGTGAGCCTCTTCATAAAAGATACATTCTCCAAACTGAATGTCAAAAACTCTTAACATCTTTGTCATTGTTGCCCTTGATGTACTGCTGCACATCAAGCATCTCTCTCTCCCATAAAAATCATTCTTCATGCACTTACTTCAAAGTTTAGTGACATTTTCTTTTATCCCACTTGAATGCACCCTGACTCCCCACCTCACACCTAAAAGCTCTTTGCTTTGGTTTAAGCTGCTGATTGTCACTGGAGCAAAGGTGCGCCCCGATCGACAACTGCTCCAATGGACTTAACTCTCTCAATCCGACAAAAACACCTGCACACACACACACACACACACACACACAATGAGGTTCAATGTTCAATCCTAAGTATTTAGCCTCTTCCCCAATTACACTTGTGTTTTGCGGTTTCAGAAGAATTTCCACAATGAAATCCGTAATGATGATAATAATAATGCATTTTAGGACACTCGCTTCAGATGACAAGATTCATTCACTCTGTACACGGTGGTGGTACTGTAGCCACAGCTGCCTTGGGGCACACTGACTGAAGCAAGGCATCCATAATGTACCATCATCACCTCATACTACCACCAACTAATCACCCATACACCCATTCTAGGCAATGTGCGTGAAGTGTCTTCCCTCAGGACACAACAGCAGTTTGGTACTCTACAGCCACCGCACCTTTGGGACCTGGTGTTCCCAGAGGTCTCCCATCACATTACTAACCAGGTCCTGCCCTGCTGAGCTTCAGAGGTCTGATAGGATCTGGTTTTCACATGCAGGTGGCGCCACTCTAGTGTATAGTCTAACTCTAAAGTCATTCAAACAATCATGTTTGTGGGACACTGTTCAGAGAAGCAGTCGAGCGTGCAAAAGATCAATAAAAAGAATCTCCCAATATCCACAGGTTTCAAACAACAAGACTGTTGCCATAGCAATTCACCAATTAAGTTCTTCTTTTTTTATAAGAAAGATTCAAATGTGTTATATAACTGTAATCTGATTAATTCCCCTGAACCATGAAACTCCCAACTATGAATATTAGGAAAAAGGGAAAGAGCTGACTGGATGTTCTGCCTCTTGTTTCATGTTTTCACTTCTATAATAGAGTTTTTGTGTGCAAAGGTCAGTAAAAGTTAAAGTGACTTTTAGCCAATTGTCATTTGGCATTGCTCATTGTGCAATCATCAGACATTTGTATGGAAGGCAGGTATGAGACTAATGGGGAGCTCATTTGCAAACTGCCTTTGCACAACGTATTCAACACTGGTGTTAACAATGTGGATATTATCCACTAACTGGAGCATCAACTTCTAATACATGTGTCGCAAAACACTTTTATCATCTGCAATATGAGCTAGATAGAACAGGATGTAGTAGAGTGGGGATTTTTGAAATAATGAGATCTGGTTCTGGTGGATGACGTTTATTTAAAGGATTACTTTTAGTCAACATGAGATTGGAAAATCTTTTCTGGTAGGTTTTTTGTTTTTTTTCCAAAAGGAGTTCAGTGATGCTTGGATTGAACTGTTGAGAAGGATTAGGCCGATTGATGTTCTTTCGAGAGAGTGCTTCAAGTCCCAGCGCAGACCCTCAGCCAGGATTGGCACACAACATAGGAAGCAAGGGGAGGAAGGCCCACAATCCCATACCTGGGCGCGTAACAGAGGCCAATAAGAATAGGCTCATTTATATAATAGGCCACATTTGCCATATTTGACACCCCATACATAAACACATACAGTTTGATTTGGTTTTATACTTTTGCAGTTTGGCATTAAACTCATCAGGCTAACTGTTACTCATCGCCTCCCACAAAGCTGAATGCACCTGCATACGGCATATAACAAAACAACAACTTTACCATTGAGTTAACCGGGGGACAGACACTCTACTGAAAAGGCTGAACAATACACCAATATACATAAAGAACACGGCCAGAGAAATGAAGAGGTAATGGAGGCACTGAAGGAGAATATGGAGCTGTTGAGAGGTACATCATAAGATTCTCTTTGTACAAAAGGCAAAAGGGTTTTTAAGAAAGGCTATCTGTCTTTGAGAACATATAAAATCATCCAATTAAATCATAGTTGCAATTAGCATCATTCATCAAAGCCCTTTTAGCTCAACCTGAAACGATTTTTCCTGAATGTCAAATTAGTAATAGATCTGCTTCTTCCCCTTCTAAGGATTTAATAATAGGTTCAGTGTTGTCAAGTCAGATGGCGCAAATGAAAATACATGGAGGTCAATTATGACTGGGGTAGTTTACATAATACTGGTAGACATTATGCTAACGAGGGCAGAGGTGTAGGAGTGCCCTCTACAGGCCGCAGCGTTATTACACACGCACACACAAACACACACACACACACACACACACCTATACACACACACCTGGCACCTCCACTATGTTGCTGGCATTGCTGAGTGTTAACTGAAGAAATGAGAGAGCTCGGCTGCCACAGTTGGAGCTGACGGTGTCACCGGTGTCTGCGACGGCTCACAGAGAACATTTATCTGATTCTGTCGTGGAGTCTTTATGTGTCGAATGGAACCTGGACTTTGACCGCCTCCCAGTCACCCACACAGAGACAGTCGCCTCCAGACATTTGAGTCGCACTCTTATTTTGTTTTTCAAGGGTTATACAAAGTGCAGAAGAGAAACCGGTAACAGCATTTTATGTATTTTCTGGCGCTGCTGTCGGGTTCAATATGGTATGTTTTTGCTTTGAACATACTATAATTATGTTTTCCCCCAAGCTATGAGAAGCTATGTGAATTTTTCTGTGAATTCAACTGTGCTTGTTCAAACTGTTTCCAAACTTCAATTAGTTTAAGCTTCCTGCCTCAAAACAAAGATGTGGATTCACCTGTCACATCGTTGGTCTGATGCTAAAAAAAGGAATATTTCAATCAATCAATCCTGACCCATCCTGCTATGCCTCTCGGTCTTATTGTATATCAGGTGCAGTGGTGGATTTGAGCTCCTATACATGTTTTTAGTGGTAGAAGAAATCGGATCCTCACAGACACAGGGAGAAATGGCCCCCTCCATTCAGAAAGGCCCTGTCTGGAGATTTAGAAACAAACCTAGAACCTTCTTGCTGACAAGAAAGAACCAGAGTGCAGTTAGATGCTTTCTATGTAAAGTAATGTGTGATAAAGGTCAGGCTTTACTTATTTATTCTGGTAAATTTGGCTTTACAACTGGAAGACCTAGAGTATAAGAATTGTAAGGCAGCAAAAGACAACAATCCCAGCACACAACAGCTCACAACAATCTGATAGAGAAACTCTTCAAAACAATACATGCATAGATAAAAAAAATAAAATAAAAAACTTAATTTTAGAAAGTATTTGACCAACAAGGACATAAAAGGGTCTTAGTTGGTCTTAAGGCAAAACACAATCCACTACCTGGGACAAATTAACCAAACGAAACACTAAACTACACTAACTACACTAAAGTAAATCGTGCAAGGGACATGACTTTTGTCACATGGACCTATGCAGTAACATGGACCATAGTTGAAAGCCTCCCGCTCCAGGAGTCCTGACAAAGCCGAGTTTAAACATCCGGAGATGGGTCCTTCGTCAGGCAAATGCAGAGGAAAAAATGTCTCTAGGTGAACGATAAAGTATTCCCTAATCTTAACCGTGACACTGTCCCCCTCCTTACAGAGCTCACATTCATTGTTGCAAGTTAAGTTACAGAATACATTACACATTTTACTTACTCTTACACCATGTTTTTTTCCACAGTGCTTTGTGGAGTCCCGCCCCCAGTAGAGAACGCCTTCTTGGTTGGTCGAAAACGCTCCCACTATGATATTCACTCAGTGGTGCGTTACCAGTGCGTTGACGGATTCCTGCAGCGCCACGTTCCCACCGCCAAGTGCCGCGCCAATGGCAAGTGGGACCGACCCAAGATCATCTGCATGAAGTGTGAGTCTCAAATATGATTGTGTTTGATTATGGTCCTGTTAACAAACAAGATGTAACCTATAATCTCAGGGATTTTATACCAATCTGAAGTTCCTAGTTATTGCAGCCACACTGAAATCCCTTGAGGTTTTTCAATGTGCGAGGTTCTTAGAAAATACATTTACAGCTATAAATACAATGCAATCTGCCTTTAATGCGCAGACAAATCCTATTACCAGAAATTTGCTCCCACTGCCCAAGAATGTATCATACTCTTTTGAAAAGTACTGCTAAAAAATAATAATAAGGAAACTGCAATTCCTTTTCTTTCACAGCACTATGACAGCTGTGATGTATGGGAAAATAGCTATGCCCTGTTTTGAGTGATTTAGATGTGCAAGGAGGAAAGTTTTTTTAAGTGGTCTGCAGTTATAGAGCTGTTATCGTTCTTTGCAGGCAACATGCTTTTGTTTGTAAAATACAGAAAGAGGGCAGGAAATTTGGCAGCACCATGCAAAATACAGCTTATGGCAATACTACGGCGTGGGTAGCTAGCCCGTGGGCTTAAGAAATCCTGTCATTAACCAAAATGCAAACCTAAAAATATTACTCTCATGTTCTCTGGTTTCATCTCTCTCCACAACTTGTCAGTGATTGGTTTTCTTGTTTCTCCCTCGTCTTGGCTTTCATCTCTCTCTCGCTAATACATCGGTGTAGCACGGAGGGCCCATCGCTACAGACGTCACCACCACAAGAGCAGGAGGGAGCGCCGGAAGCACAAGAAGCATGGCCACAGAGAGGGGGGTCACCATGAGCACGGTCACGGCCATTTCTGAACCAAATTTCACACCTTTCTGTCTCTGTCCTCTCCTTTCTGATGCCGGCTGCCTTCCCACGCTGTGTAAGCCCACCCTCTTCTTCTGAACCCGCTCTGTACTGCCCTGCCAATCTACGCAGGAACATCCAACAACATTCTTTCTATCTCCACGTCTGAACCGCCCACCGAGCTTCATCTCCAACTTGGGCCTATACAGTTTGTCATAAAGTCATTAATTCGGACACTCTTCGGAGACCAGTGGTGGGACTGTAAATAGGGACGACATCACTACAACGTTGACTGGAGGCGCCCATGGTTTTGAGCCTATTTTTACAAATGTTAGATGTTGATTTTTCTCAACTTTGCTGCTTTTAGTTTTTTGGCTTTTTGTAAGACATTGTACTTGACATAACACTATTGAGTTGACTTACTGTGAATCAGAGGCAGTAAATGCGTTTTTCGAGTGTTCTTAGCCTTGCATTTTCATCAGTGTGAAAACTGTTTTAGATCAGACGCTGAGCGAACAGAGGAAAATGGACTCCCAAAATGTGTTTCATCATTTTCTGTTTTATATCGTAGTCAGATTTCAGTAGATATCCTCGCCATCTCTTCTTGTCCCAGTACAGCAGTCCCAGTGATATTTTCCTCCATGTTTTTTTCAATGTTTGTAATTATTTATTGTGTACATAGATGTTCATAACATTTTGTGGTAGGTTTTTCAGAACTTAAACAGGGGGTTTTCTTTTGAAACTTCATAGCAGCCACTTGCAAAGCACTTTGACCCAATTGAAGCCCCCAAAAAAGAGTTTTTCAATGACTTAGGATATTACACTTTTACAATCAGACGTACAAAACCTTCTGCCGCCTGATAACCACAGGGTTGATTCCCAATCTGTCAGAATCTTATTTGCTTTCACAATTCCAAGTACTATCCAGATTCAGATTCATTTTATTTGCCATATGCTGTACAACCACATTGGAATACATGCGCAAAAGTCCACATTGTGCAAAAGACATAAACAAAACAATGTTAAAAATACATAAATAAAACAAACCAAACAGGAAAGAATTGTAGAACTGCTTGTGGAAAGAAGCTGTTCTCAAAACGAGATGTCCTGCATTTCAGCAAACGATATCTTCTGCCAGAGGGAAGAAGCTGGAACATGGCTTTCCCAGCGTGGCCAGAAGAGTCATTGATTATTTTAAGAGATTAAAAGTCTGGATTTATAAAGAACCTCCAGAACAGGAAGCTTCCAATCCAAAACTACAAGCTTCTCTATAATGTAGGGCATTATCTCTATAATGCCCTACATTGAAGCATAGCAGCGAAAAATCCTAGACAAAGCAATTTGTCATTATGTGACCCAGAAAATTAGCATAGTTGTGACAAATAAAGATGAATTGGAGTCTACCGCATCACTGACATTTCCAATGATTCAAGAGCAAGCCTACTAGCTTACTATCAAGTGCCCCGGTCCTGTGTTGAAAGAATAATGGCTGCCCTTTTTCCGGCCATACTGCCAGAGTAAACAAAACAGGCAGTGGCTAATACCAAGCGGACGAAATTGATCACATCTGTATGCACAATGGCAAAGATCGACTTATTTTATAAAACAGCTTTTCCTGTGCGGTGCAGTGAGGTCATACCAAATGACGATGGCGATGATAAAGCAGAGATGAATGTGTCCTGACTCCACTCCTCCCCCGTGTTGCGTCTACGAGAAAGAGAGAATGCTTTCATCTTGTTTTCTTAAGGCTGCTGCTCAACGCTAAAGCTTTTAGGATTAAGAGCAACCTCACATCATGTTCAAAGATTGTTTTTGTTATGCCCATGAACTGAAGATTGACCTCTAGAGTTGGCTGTTGACAATAGAAATATTTCACTCCAAATACAGAGAATATCAATGATCATGTTTAGTCATTAAGCAGGCTGACCTTTAGCTGGACACGTCACTTCCTTTGTTCAATACTTCTTATGCAACTTTCCTTTTTTCTTGTCATTGCATCAAGAGGCCGTCAATGAAAAGTGAGAGCTGCCAATCACAGCGAGCCCTCCTTACTCCCTCAGCCATCTCTGCTCTCCAATTTTGTGGCATTTATTAAGTTTTGACATTGAGTGGCCAGTGGGCGTCCTGACTGTTAATAGTTATCCAGTTGTATTAAAAAAAAGCTGAGGTACCTAACTTTTTTCCCATAAATCATACATGTTGTTTGCCCGAACCGAAGGAGTCTTGTAAATGTATAATGGAAACAAATCAGACCATGACATATTTTCTTCATCTTATTAGAGAGCCTATTTTCTTCTGCATACATGCACGAAAGGGCCCTATGAGTCACTATTTAAAGGAGCAGTATGTAAAAAATGTGGCCAAAAGTGGTACTGCAGTCTCTCCCACTCTCCCTGACTCAGGTTGCCAGATATGCAGACGAATCCAGCTGGGACCATTATATCTGAATAGACAAGAGTTTTGTCAACAACAAATCTATAACCAACACTTTTTTTCACAAAAGCCCCGATAGAAAACCTGTTGTTAATGAATTGAGGCTCATATACAGACCTTTTTAAGTTCTCGGCCACATGTTTCTTTACCAGTGATAGTAGCTCGTTCTGGCAACCTGGACCACAGACTTTCTGATTGGTAAAACAGCGGAGGGTGGGACATCGAAATGAAAACAATAACAAGATTAAGGGACTGTAAAACTAATTTTGAAATTTGAATATCTCGACTGAACTACTGTTATCAGTTAAAGACTTTTGACAGATTTGGGCCATTTAATTATAACTTCACGTGAAAATCCACCGTAGATACAGTTTAAAATTAGAATATCGTTCAAAAGTAAATG